ATAGTGCCCCATCATTAGTGTCAGTGGGAGGAATAGTGCCCCCCATCATTGGTGTCAGTGGGAGGAATAATGTCTTATCATTGGTGTCAGTGGGAGGAATAGTGTCCCATTGTTGGTGCCAGTGCCAGAAACTATGCTCCACTGTTGCTGATGGGAGGAATAAAACCAAGCAAAGGGCCGCATCCGGTCCCCGGGACACAGTTTGGGGACCACTGCTTTTACAGGCTCCAATGCAAAAACATTTTTAAAAATCCCTTTTTTTTTATATGGGGGCATTTATTAATCTTTTAAATTTTAATTTATTAATCTATTAATTTGAAATATGCCTTTGATAGCAGTGGGATGCTTTGCCTTCCTTTAGGAAAGACTTGTACATGAGTGCCGGATACCTGGTCTTACATAATACTTAAACGAGAGCTATTGTTAAAATAAAAACACGACCCAACAGGGCACCCGCCTACAATGCCAAAACGCAGTTAATATTCTGATTTAAAAACAGAAAAAACTTTTACTTGTCATGAATAAAAAATGCTGCCGCTCTCAGCCTAGGCAGGAAGCTAGATTGCAGAGCTTATTATGTTGTACTGAACCACCCCAGAGAGTATCTATATTTATTGCTGAGTACCAACATCCCTAATACATTCAGAATATAGGTTGTTGGCTCTGAAGTGGGATTTTAGCCGTACATTTTATGTTTAGGCAGGAAAGAATATCTGTAAAAAGAATTATAAACTCTATTTCTATCATATACACTATTAGAACCTTGAAATACATTATATAATTTTTTTACTATTATTTTCTGCCTTCACAAATATCAAAATGACCACTAAAATAACAATTTACATAAATAGTTTGCTAACATTTTGGGATTATTTATTACAGGTATTTATAAATCATTTATAAATCATCAATTTAACCACATGCCGGGCACGGCTGGGCAAAAGCACGTTTTAAAACGTGTGTTTTGAAAACAGGTAGGGGGCACGCGCGAGGCGCGCCGCCGCCCTACCTGTCCCGCCGATCACAGCTGCAGATGTCAGTCGCCGGGTCACGTTACCGGCTATGTCCCGGCGATCGGCGGCAATCGTTGACAGAGAGCACAGCTGCAGTAGCTGTGCTTTCTGTCAGTTCCCTGACAGCTCCAGGACACGCTGATCGGGACAGAAGAGTTTCTCTCTCCCAATCAGCAGTGTCCCGTGCAGTACACACCCCGCCCCCTAGTAAAACACTCCCCCTCACACAGATAACCCTTTACCTGAATAATAAACTCAACCCCTTCCTCCCCAGTGCCATTAGTACAGTGTCAGTTTTTTTTTTTGCACTGATCACTTTATTGGTGTCACTGGGGATGTCAGTGACCCCAAGTCAGTTCCCCCCCAATGTCAGAATGTCCACCACAGTCCCGCCATAAGTCGCTGATCGCCACCATAAGTCACTGATCGCCGCCATTATTAGTATAAAAAAAAAACCTAAAAATTCCAGTATCTTTCCCGCCATTTGTAAACACTATAACTTTCACGTAAACCAATTAATTTACACGTATTGGGTTTTTTTTGTAGCAAAGACATGGAGCAGAATGCATTTTGGCAGCAAAAAGAGGCCTGGTCATTAAGGGGGGTAAATCCTCTGGAGGGCAGCATTTTACATATATATTGTACATTCACATCAGTCCTGGGGAGCTTACAATCTAAGGTGCCTAACTCACTTTCATATACATACTAGGGCCAATTGGGCTACCATCTTTGGAGTGTGGGAGTAAGCTGATGCAGGCACAGGGAGAACATGAAAATGCCATGCAGGTAGTGCCATGGTCAGGATTCAAACCGGTGACCCTAAGGGCTCATGTACACTGCAGCTGGTAAACTCACGTTTAGGAGCTGTTCAACGTTTTTTTCAGCAGCCCCTGAACTCTCCCTAATGTTTTCTTTGTGTCCATGTCAGGGGCGGACTGACAACTCATGGGGCCCCTGGGCAATAGGGGATCATGGGGCCCCTGTGTCCTTGTCCAAACTCAAAAAGCCTATGAAAAAGGTACCAGGGGCATCTCATGGGGCCCCCTACTGACTGGCAGTGCCCAAGTTTCCAAATGGTCAGTCCGCCCCTGGTCCATGTACACATCGTCGTTTACAGTCGTTTACAGGCATTTAAGTTTACAGTGGTTTTTTTGAACGCAGAAAACTTGTGTTCCGAAGTCGATTTTATAGGCGTTTCAAACGCAAAGCGCCTGTAAACGCGGAAAATCGGGTTTATAAACATTTGCGTTTGAAAATGTTTTTTAACTCTTCCAGTTCCCGATGCTGTCCAGAACCTTTTTTCATCATGAAAAATACATGCAAAGGTGCTCAGATGGACAAAACACTGAACACAGGATGTTCCTACCAAGCTTGACACACATTGTAATGACCAATTCACACCTCAGACCTCTCCCACCCTTGGAAACAAAATATATGTTAATGAACATTCACACCTCAAATTCCTCATGCAGACCCCCTGCCAGGTGACCTTAATGACGCCCTCCTCCAGACACCTTTCCCACCCTTGGAAACAAAAGAAATGTTAATGAGCAACTCACACCTAATTATCTCAACACATACTGCTGTCTCTGCTTCTACTCTGTATTTCTCTGAAACAGTCTGAAATAGTTAATAGTTTACCACTTTTCAGTGCATTCTGGGAATTTGGGAGGCTCTCCTGTGCTTATCTTTAAAAAACGCTTCTAAACACAAACGCACATAAACGTGTTATGCAAACGCAGCTAAACAGACGTTTTTTAACCTATGTTTTCCAGCAGTCAGTTTCCATCATTTAGAAGTGTCCCATGTACATGGGGCCTAATGCTGCAAGATGGAAGTGCTAACCACTAAGCCACTGGGGTGCCCTTAGCTCAGTCAACGCATGTTTAACCACTAGCCTACAGGGCACTTTTACCCCCTTCCTGCCCAGGCCAATTTCCAGCTTTCAGCGCTGTCACACTTTGAACGACAATTGTGCGGTCATGCAACACTGTACCCATATGACATTTTTATCATTAATTTTGAGACAGATAGAGCTTTATTTTGATGGTATTTAATCACCTCTGGGATTTTTATTTTTTCTTAAACAAACCAAAAACCACTGAAAATTTTTTTTTTAAAAAAGTTTTTTCTTAGTTTTTGTTATACAATTTTGTAAATAAGTGATTTTGCTCCTTCACTGATGTGCGCTAATGAGGCTGCAGTGATAGGCACTGATAGGTGGCACTAATGGGCACTGATGATGAGGCACTGGTAGGTTGCACTGATGGGCATTGACAGGCATCACTGATGGGCACTGAAAGGCAGCACTGATACATGACACTGATAGGTGGCACTGATAGGTGACTGGCACTGCACACTGACTGGCACTGATAGGCGGCACTGACTGGCACTGTTAGGCGGCACTGACTGGCACTGATAGGCGGCACTGACTGGCACTGATGCGCACTGATAGGTTGACACTTACTGGCACTGATAGGTGGCACTGATTGGCAGCACTGATATATAGCACTGATTGGCATTGATAGGTGGCACTGACTGGCACTGATGGGTGACATTGAAAGGCAGCTCAGATGGGCACTGATATGTGACATTGATGTGGCACTGATGGGCACTGGTATGTGGCACTGATGAGCACTGATGGGCACTGACAGGTGGCACTTCTGGGGCCACACTGATCATCAGTGCCCTGATGATCAGTGTACATGTCCCCTCCGCGGAAAGCCGATTACCAGCTCTCCTCTCCTCTGTCAACGTGACAGCTCGTGAGGAGAGAAATGCCGATAACGGCATTTCCGTGTTTACATGTGATTGGACACAGCTGATCACATGACCGAGCCGACATCTTCCGCTCTTTCCGTGATCCCAAAAATGGACCCCAACATTTGCCTGATGAAGAGACCTGCACTGGTTCTGATGTTTTTTGACATGTTGCTCATGCTCTAATAACAACAGATCCATTTCAAGAAGACTAAGGTGTGCTGGCGACATACACCCGCCGGCCACTTTATTAGGCACATCTGTTCCATTGCTTGGTAACACAAATTGCTAATCAGCCAATAAAATTTTTTACTGGACATGTTTAATAGCAAAAAGTCAACAATGTTTTTTTCTCAAAATTGTCAGACTTTTTTTTTTATAGCACAAAAAATTAAAACCGCACAGGTGATCAAATACCACCAAAAGAAAGCTCTATTTGTGGGGAAAAAAAAGAACGTAAATTTCATTTCAGTGCAGCGTTGCATGACTGTGAAATTGTCAGTTAAATTAACGAAGCGCCGTAACACACAGAATAGCCTGGTCTGGAAGGGGGGGAAATCCTCAGGAGGGCAAAAGAGTTATATGGGAAAATTGCACATATGGTATAAATTGTATTATTTATATCTCGTGGCACTGGTTTACAGAGTATTTACTATTTGCATATGTGGGAACACATTTTATTTATTTTATTTTTATTTCAGGTACTTATATAGTGCTGACAGTTTACACAGCACTTTACATATATATTGTACATTCACATCAGTCCCTAACCCTCAAGGGGCATACAATCTAAGGTCCCTAACTCACATTCATACATACACATCCTGGGGCCAATTTAGGCAGAAGCCAATTCACCTACCAGCATGTCTTTGGGGTGTGGGAGGAAACCAGAGTACCTGGAAGAAACCCATGCAGTCACAGGGAGAACATGCAAACTCCAGACAGATGGTGCTGTGGTCAGGATTCGAACCAACAACCCTAGTACTGCCAGGCGGAAGTGCTAGCCATTTAGCCACTGTTCTGCCCACATTTAACCCTTGCTCACATCTATGCGGGTGGTGCCGCTGTGGATTGGCACAAAAATCTATGCAGCCGCACCACCTGCACAGAGGAATGCGGACCCGTGGGTCTAATGGCACGCCGCCTACACTAGAAAATGCAACCGTACTGGGAACCGAGGCTGCGTTTTCCAAAGAAGTGCAGGGACTTTTTCTCTGCGTGTCACGGGCACGAGAGTCCATTCAAATGAATGCAAAATGCGGCCCTCAGGACCGCGGAGATGTGAACCTAGCCTTACCCTAGATTCACATCTGTGCGGGTGGTGCCAGTGCGGATCCGCACCAAAATCCGTGCAGCCGTACCACCCGCACAGAGAATTGCAGACCCCCAGGCGTGTGCCATTAGTTCTTATGGCACGCCGCCCGCACTGGAAAACACAACCGTACTGGGAACCAAGGTGGTGCCGCTCGGAGCCGCACAAAAATCTGTGCAGCCGCACCACCCGCACAGAGAAATGCGGACCCGTGGGCGGGTGCCATTAGTTCTAATGGCATGCCGCCCACACTGGAAAACGCAACCGTACTGGGAACCGAGGTTCCCGTGCGGGCTGCGTTTTCCAAAGAAGTGCAGGGACTTCTTCCCTGAGTGTCACGGGACACGGGAGTCCATTCAAATGAATGTAAAACGCGACCCGCAGGACCACAGAGATGTGAACCTAGCCTTACCCTAGGTTCACATTAGTGGGGGTGGTGCTGTTGCGGATCCGCACCAAAATCCATGCAACCGCACCACCCGCACAGAGAATTGCAGACCCGTGGGCGGGTGCCATTAGTTCTAATGGCATGCCACCAGGGGCAGACTGACAACTCATGGGGCCCCCGGGCAATAGGATCATGGGGCCCCTGTGTCCTTGTCCAAACTCAAAAAAGCCTATGAAAAAAGTACCAGGGGCATCTCATGGGTCCCCCTACTGACCCCGGGCCCTTGGGCAGTGCCCCAGTTTCCAAATGGTCAGTCCGCCCCTGTACACCACCCACACTGGAAAACACAACTGTACTGGATACCAAGGTGGTGCCGCTGCAGAGCAGCACAAAAATCTGTGCAGCCGCAGCACCACACAGAGGAATGCGGACCCGCGGGTGGGTGCCATTAGCACTGGAAAACGCAACCGTACTGAGAACCGAGGTTACAGTGCGGGCTGCGTTTTCCAAAGAAGTGCAGGGACTTCTTCCCTGCGTGTCACGGGCACGGGAGTTCAAATTAATGCAAAACGCGGCCCGCAGGAGCCTTACCCTAGGTTCACATCTGTGCAGGTGGTGCCGCAGCAGATCTGCACGAAAATCCGTGCAGCCGCACCACCCGCACAGAGGACTGCGGACTCGCAGGCGAGTACCATTGGTTCTAATGGCCATTAGTTCTAATTAGTTCTAATGGCACGCCACCCACTCTGGAAAACACAAACCGTACTGGGAACCAAGGTGGTGCCGCTCGGAGCCGCACAAAAATCTGTGCAGCCGCACCACCCACACAGAGAAATGCGGACCCGCGGGCGGGTGCCATTAGCACTGGAAATCACAACTGTACTGGGAACCGAGGTTCCCGTGTGAGCTGCGTTTTCCAAAGAAGTGCAGGAACTTCTTCCCTGCGTGTCACGGGCACGGGAGTCCATTCAAATGAATGTAAAATGCGGCCCGCAGGAGCCTTACCCTGGGTTCACATTTGTGCGGGTGGTGCAGATCCACCACCCGCACAGAGAATTGCGGACCCGCAGGCGAGTGCCATTAGTTCTAATGGCCATTAATTCTAATTAGTTCTAATGGCACGCCACCCACACTGGAAAACACAACCGTACTGGGAACCAAGGTGGTGCCGCTCGGAGCCGCACAAAAATCTGTGCAGCCGCACCACCCGCACAGAGAAATGCGGACCCGCGGGGCGCGGGTGCCATTAGCACTGGAAATCACAACTGTACTGGGAACCGAGGTTCCCGTGTGAGCTGCGTTTTCCAAACAAGTGCAGGGAGTTCTTCCCTGCGTGTCACGGGCACGGGAGTCCATTCAAATGAATGGGCTCTCATGCCCGTGCAAAACGCAGCCCACAGATGTGAACCGGGGGTGAGTGTCAGCAGCAGTATCGCATTGGAGGTGGGAGTTTGCGCTGAAGTTACTTTGTAATATAAAAATAGACCATCACAAAGGAAAATAGTTCTGTTAGCCCATAGCATGCAGCCCAGATTCGTCTCACCCCGGAGTATTAAACCATCGATCTGGTTGCTACAGGCAATTACTGCATCATTTTGCGTCTCCCGTTTCCCCAAACCAGGCATTGGCACACTTTAGAAAGGGGTTAAATAGCTTGCTGAATAGGTGCCCATGCTGCATCTGTCGGCTCTCATTTGTCTTTGATGTTCAGAAAAAAGCTCAGTGAATATCCCAGATCAACCAAAAGCGGAAAGGATCTGAGCACTGACCCCGTGGCGGTGTAAGTTTCCCTACAGACAAAAGTACAAGTTGCTGCATTGCAGTGCAGGGTGACATCCCACCCCTCCGTAAGCTGTGCTGCTCCACTTTGGATCCAGTATAATTCCTATTTTCCATGTAATGTGCGAATACATATATCTGTAGCACAGCCTCTCATGCTGCATGCGTCTCTTCCCATCTGTCCCACTTATCTATGTTAACCCGTTGTGTGGCTGCTTTGTACCGCTGAATACATTTTCCTATGTTCTGCCTGCATCTACTTTGATGCCTTTCCAATTCCCTGGTCCCCTGCTCCCTCCTCACACATCTTTGACCCTCTCTGTGCGTTGACTGCAAATATTTTCCTCCTTTCTCTTTCCCAAGCTTCCCTTACCGTTGTCAGCCAGATCTGGAGCTGTCATCGTCGTTGAGAAAAAAAAAAAAAAAATCTGTTTTTTCAGAAAAAAAAAACAAGCCGTAGAAAAAAAGCACTTGATTGGCTTAGCACGGGCTCCTGCCATTGTGGGATTTCATACATGGAATTCATATTTTTTTTTTTTTTTTTGCTTTTATAATGGTTAATAATGGATCTCATAAGGTTAATGATGAGCTGCAGCTGGAAAGTGCATTCGGAATATGCGCTGCTCCCTGAAGACTAGGCTGGAGAGGCATCTGAGAGCAAACTCCGAAAGTGGCTCTTTGCTGATAATGCAGAACAATGAAAGGGAACCTCTGACGACTGGCCGGTCTATGTGAGATGCAGCGTGTTCTTGCTGCAGCTGGCAACTCACCTTCGCTGCAATCGTTTGTCCTCCTGCTGCGTTGGCCCTTATAGGATTTTGGTTTATTTTATTTTATTATTTTTTTTTTTTTGTTCAAGAAGTCAACCTCAGCAGGTTTCTTTTATTCACCTAGCATTGTTTCAAAGCTCTCTGCTTTCTGGGGGATTCTGATTTCAGCTGAACAAGTTAGCCATGCAAATGCAGCACAAGACTTGTACCGTATAAAGAAGTGCCCCTAAGACTGGAGAAACCCTTGAGCTGTCTCTGGGTTTGCTAAATGTTTTGCCCTTTACGCTTAGAAAGGTAAGTGAGGAGCAAAAGGAGAATCCATTCTGTCTACCTGAGAAGAACAGATGTCCTACCAGCGGTCTGGTGTACTGACCTGTCCCTGAGGAGACTCTTGAAGATCATGTGGCTAGCTCTGCAGGGGGAATTAATCTTTGACTCGTTCAAGGAGTGATTAGTATGTCAAAGAACCTACCAAAGATGAAAAAGAGCATTGTCCTTTAAAAATAACCACATCACGGAAAATCCTGTTATACACAAAGACTGACCACACTGAGGACTTTTTCCCAGCTGGATACATAGACGAAGTGCTTGGTCATGGAATCTAAACTAAACACAAGTTGGGACCACATGACATCTTGACCTCTGCTCTCCATCTTGTTCTAATCTTTCTGACCCATCACTTTTTTTTTTTCTTTGTACCACTTTGGAATTTCACTCTTGCCTTTCCAAACTAACATCTCTATTTGTATGCGCTCCCTCTTCATTAACTTCTTCCATCTGTTTCAAGAAGACCATGTCAACACATCACTCGATCTGAATGTTCCTTCACTTCCAAGAAGACTGATAATGTTCTCCTAAGTTTGGATAAAAAAATGTGTTCCTTGAATTAGAAGTATATGTGAACCACACACCATTATCTTTTGTGTCGTGAACAAACTTTGACCTAGTTTTAGAAGTATCATGTTCTTGTAGTAGATGTTCTCCTAGATTGTAAGCTCGAAAGGGCCCTCTTACCCCTCGTACGTTGTTTGTTATTGTTGTACTGTGCCTTGTATTGTCCCCCCCTATTGTACAGCGCTGAGCAAACCCTTTGGCGCTATATAAACTCGATGTAATAATAGTAAGCACTGGATATTGAAGTTTGGTTTTGTTACTATCAGTTTTTACTTCTCTAGTTTTTGGTGGCCTTTGGATGTGACGTTGTAGAACTAAATTATTAATTGTGTTTGATAGGTAGCTAAGGAAACAATGATTCCATTGAAATAGTTTTGTGGCAGTTTCCAAGGATACCTTATGAGATGTTTCCTAAAAGTAGACTTCTTGCCTAAAATACAGAGATAAAATTTATTGACTTGGCCTCGTCCTTTTAATGTTGGCTGTACAGGAAGGTGTTGAGTTAATGCCACGTATTTTCCACCTTGCTCTGGGCACATGATACCTAAGAGCTATACCTTTCTGCTCAGAAGCTCGGTAAAGAACTAGGATATCTTCTACGGAATAGTAATGTTCTTGCTGGCATAAATCTGAACATTCCCTACTGGGAGAAACAATCCCGTCAATTTTAAAGGGATATTAAAAGACTACTTTATCAGAGTGCTCTGAATTTAAGTATACGCATTAAAATCAGCGCTAAATATTTCTGACTTTGGCCGTACGTGCTTTACAGAAGTTTGCTGATTATGGATTATAGATTATTATTATGTAGTCATTTTACGGCAATTTACATGCTGTGCAATTTCCAAAGAGGCGTACGCATGTAACAAAGGCATACTGAGTCAGGACACAAAGGCGGTAAAGACCAGCCTGCTTGTTCATAAAGGTCATGAATGATTTATGGATTGTTGAAAATTCTAAATTCATCTGCCAATTGATGTCAGATCTTTTTTTTCTCTTTATTAATATCTAGGGCTTTGATAATTACTCGAAAATTGATTGCAGAGTACCACTTATAACGGCAATTATTCCTTTTAGCTTTATTTACTTGAGGATGCAGTGTATGTGCAGAGAATGTATAAATCCCTTTTTAATACTTGGCATTTAAAAAAAAAAAATGTCAAGAGTGCTTGATCTGCCATTGATTTTAGCCGGAGTGGATAGTTTAATGTAGGATTCTTCAGCCTATTTAATCTAGAACACAATAGGTCCCTGGAGATTATCTGTTCCAATCGTCAAACATAGAAAAGCTGAACATTGGACTCCAACAGTGGTTTTCAACATAGTTGCTGTCTGGATTGTAAAACTTCTACAGGTCAGACCTTAATTTTGTTCTCAATTCTTGATTGGTTATCCAGTTATGTTGGTAAAGTCCTAATGGCATTGGCTGAAAAAAGAATCCTTGTGATATTTGCATTGACATTTTAACAAGGGCTGTTTTCAAACTAGTTATGGCAATTGATGGTAAAGTCCTAATTCTTGGCATTTAAAAAATAAATTTCAAGAATGCTTGATGATTTCTGCCATTGATTTTAGACAAGGTGGATACTTTAATGTAGCCTATCTGTCTAACCTAGAACACAATAGGTCTCTGGGGATTATCTGCTTCGATTGTCAACCATAGAAAGGCAGAACATTGGACTCCAACAATGTTTTTCAACGTATTTGCTCTCTGGATTTTAAAGTTTCTACAGGTCAAACCTTGATTTCCTTTTCAGTTCTTGAATGGTTATCCAGTTATGGCAATGGACGGTAAAGTCCTAATGGCACTGGCTGAAAAAAGAATCCTTGCGACATTTGCATTGACATTTTAACGAGGGCTGTTTTCAAACTAAGAGATGAAATTATAGATAATCTGAGCATTTTTGTGCCATTAAGGATCACCTATTATTATTATTCCCTGTTTCTATGTTTTGGTAGTTATCCTCAACATTGTATATTTTATTTGTGGCTTGTCATTGGAAATTCCATTCTTATGACCTCCGGTAAATAAGATCCCAGCTGTAGAAATTATGCTTGGTAAAAGTCATCCTCAGTCATCTACACAAGGATGATGCATAGCAACATGTGGTCTCTGCTGTAGCTAGGCCATTTAGATGTTCAGCATGGTAACACCATGGTACGGTGAACCCCTTCAGCCTTCGTGGTAGGTTATTTGAATTAATACCTCCACTTTGCTATTTTACAAATATTTTGTATTCCTGCGTATGCTTTTATCTTAAAACTTGTCAGAAGCAACATGAAAGGAAGCCCAAGGGTATGTGGAGACCGAATATCTAATTAGTGTGGGCTTCCTACTGCCAAGCGGGGGTTGCTGCAAAACTAGTGAAGAAGATCAAAGCCAGTAATGATTTGAATTTGATCATACTAAACACAATGATGTTAGTTCTCATCTCTTTACTGTAACCTAAATATATCCTATTTTCAAATATGTATAATTTATTTTCTTCTTCCCCTTGAAGAATTAAGCTTGGTGCAGGAGAGAAGGCTTGACTATGTAGCGTTCAAGCTCTTACTTTGTGTTCTTTGGAAATTGCTTGCTGAGTTCTGTCGTTTTATATTTTTTTTTTCAAACCTGGGAGCACAAGTTTACGAGTTCGGAAGCCATTTCGGTTGCCAACAATCATTTTTCCGAGACAAATAAAATCTGTGCTTCTACTGACAGTACCTGTCTGAAAAAAGCAATTTGTTGCTTCTCGTCCCAACGCTTGGATTAGTCCGGACGTGCTTTGAAAAAGACGTTTTTGTAAAATTATTGTAAAAATTTATACCAATGGTGGATCTCTGAACAATGGATTAATGGAGTGAACACTTTTAAGGGCAAGACAGTACAATCTAGGTACCGATAATACATTTGAAGACACATTCTTATATTCACAGTAGAAAAGCAGCAAGTTAGGTACCTACCACCATCTTTTCAGCACATTGAATACCTGAATCTTGCGTTTTTATCTTCTAAATTACATTACCAACACGTCTATTGTATAACCAAGTCAAGCTTGCTGAAAACCGGATTATTATAGCACATATAGGGGTACTCTTTTAGATTTTGGTATACTAGACTGAACTCCTACAGAATGCATACTTCCAGCAGTGACGACCCCAGCTACAGTCAGAGCTCCCCACCTCGGGGTCGCAGGGCACGATGGAAAGGCGTATACCGAGGACGTTGGGGGGTTGCGGACAGCTGTTCGTTCAGCGGGGTGCAACCTAATTCTGAAGAGCAACAAACAGGGGAAGCCAAAAAGGAGAACAGAGTTATTGTCCTATATCTGGATCTCTCTTTTCTTTTACTTCTAGAACTCAAGAAGATGAGTATGACACGCGGCTGCCTGCTCTGCATCAAAATTACCATGTTCATCTTCAACCTCATCTTCTGGGTGAGTACACCAGGGGGTGCACTGTTCTGTTTTTAATACTAATTTTGGAGTTTTTATTATAAGGCATGAAATGTTTGACTTTTACACATTTGTATTGGTTTGCCATGCCATATCTATTGTTTCAAAGGGTTTTTTGTTTTTAAAGAGTACACTCAGTTTATTGATTTCCCTTAAAGTGGTTGTAAACCCTTATATATATACCCCAGGTGATCCACAGGGATTGAACAAATCCTCCTACATAAGTTGTATCTGTTTATCTGCAGTCTTCTCCTCTCTACAAATGGGTGCGTTTTTGGTGCGTTTTTTGAGCCACGTAACTTTTTTTCACAAGTGCAAAGCAGTAAAGATGCTCAAAAACGCATATGCTTTTTTTACCGCGTTTTTGCATCAGAGCAGTGTGAAATTGTCTAAAAAATAGTCCCTGGGTTCAGCTTAAACCCAGCTCTCCCCAAGAACACATACTTGCCTTCCTTTCGCTCCCCCTCTGCTCTGTTCAGTACTTGGGAAGTAAAAAAGTCCTGTAGAAGCTACGAGTCACCCGAGTCATAGTCTGCACAGGACAATGGACTCCACATGTGAAAGCTCTGATTGGTCACATGGAGCGAGTTGTATGCGCCTCCAGAAGTGGAAGTACATTGAAATACCAGTGTTTCCTTCTGCTCCTATTGCTGAATAGAACAGAGGGACATTAAAGGAAGTATATGATGCTGGAGGTGGGGGGGCTGTTGGGGTGTTTGTATATGATGCTGGAGGTGGGGGGGGGCTGTCGGGGTGTTAGTATATGATCCTGGAGGTGGGGGGGGGGGTGGTGTTAAAGCATACTGTTACTTTGCACTGAACTAGCAGATAGTTACTTTAAAGATACTTTAAACCCCAAATCTAGGAAGCTTAAACATTATCCTTTGCAGTGCACTGCAAGGGTTAATTGCTTGTTTACAAATAGGGGGGCATAGAAAAGAAGATCTGCTTACCCGACCCCCCTCTTCTCCACGCTGCTAGACTTTTCCCCACAGCAACTTCTCCCTCTTTATGGTCTAGGGTCCTGACATCATCAAAACCAATGCAGTGTCCATAGCCCTGCATTGGATGTGATGACACAGAGGGACAGTACACCGTTGGAGTGTGGGGGAGTGTCATCTGTTGGGAAGAGGAGGATCAGGTAAGTTGATACCAATGATGAGGCAATATTCCTCCCACTGATACCAATGATGGGGCTCTATTCCTCCAGATAATATCAATGATGGGGCACTATTCCTCCCACTGATATCAATGATGGGACACTATTCCTCCCACTGATACCAATGATGGGGCACTATTCCTCCCACTGACACCAATGATGGGGCACTATTCCCCCACTGATACCAATGATGGGGCACTATTCCTCCACTGATACCAATATGAGGCACTATTCCTCCACTGATACCAATGATGGGGCACTATTCCTCCCACTGATACCAATGATGGGGCACTATTCCCCCCACTGATACCAATGATGGGGCACTATTCCTCCCACTGATACCAATGATGGGGCACTATTCCTCCCACTGACACCAATGATGGGGCACTATTCCTCCCACTGATACCAATGATGGGGAACTATTCCTCCCACTAATACCAATGATGGGGCACTATTACTCCCACTGACACCAATGACGGGGCACTATTCCTCCACTGATACCAATGATGGGGCACTATTCCTCCCACTGATACCAATGATGAGGCACTATTCCTCCCACTGATACCAATGATGGGCACTATTCCTCCCACTGATACCAATGATGGGGCACTATTACTCCCACTGACACCAATGATGGGGCACTATTCCTCCCACTAATACCAATGATGGGGCACTATTCCTCCCACTGACACCAATGATGGGGCACTATTCCTCCCACTGATACCAATGAAGGAACACTATTCTGCCCACTGACACCAATGATGGGGCACTATTACTCTCACGGACACCAATGATGGGACACTATTACTCCCACTGACACCAATGATGGGGCACTATTACTCCCACGGACACCAATGATGGGACACTATTCCTCCCACTTATAACAATGATAGAGCCGTATTCCTCCCAATGACACCATTGATGGGGCACTATTCCTATTACTGATACCAATGATGGGGCACTATTCCTCTTACTGACACCAATGATGGGGCACTATTCCTCCCAATGACACCATTGATGGGGCACTATTCCTCCCACTGACACCAATGATTGGGCACTAATACTCCCTTAATACCAATGATGGGTCACAGTCATATGTCATGTTACAACCCAAAAAATAAATGTATTTTATTGGGATTTGATGCGTTAGACCAACACAAAGTGGCACATAATTGTGAAGTGGAAGGAAAATTATAAATGGTTTTCAACATTTTTTACAAATAAATATCTGAAAAGTGTGGCAGCATTTGTATTGAGCCCCCCGGAGTCAATACTTTGTAGGACCCCCTTTCTCTTCAATTCCAGCTGCAAGTCTTTTTGGGGATGTCTCTCCCAGCTTTGCACATCTAGAGAGGGACATTTCTGCCCATTCTTCTTTGCAGAATATCTCAAGCTCTGTCAGATTGGATGGAGAGCGTCTGTGAAGAGCAATTTTCAAGTCTTGCCACAGATTCTCCATTGGATTTCGGTCTGGACTGTGACTGGGCCATTCTAACACATGAATATGCTTTGATTTAAAGCATTTCATTGTAGCTCTGGCTGGATGTTTCGTGTCGTTGTCCTGCTGGAAGGGAAACCTCCGCCCCGGTCTCAAGTCTTTTACAGACTCTAACAGGTTTTCTACTAAGATTGCCCTGTATTTGGCTCCATCCATCTTCCCATAAACTCTAACCAGCTTCCCTGTCCCTGCTGAAGAAAAGCATCCCCAGAACATGATGTTGCCACCACCATGTTTCACGGTGGGGATGGTGTGTTTAGGATGATGTGCAGTGTTAGGTTTCCACCACACATAGCGTTTTGCTTTTAGGCCACAAAGTCCAATTTTGGTCTCACCTGACCAGATCACCTTCTTCCACATGTTTGCTGTGTTCCCCACATGGCTTCTCGCAAACTGCAAATGGGACTTCTTATGGCTTTCTTCCAACAATGGCTTTCTTCTTGCCACTCTTTCACAAGGCCAGATTTGTGGAGTGCACAACTAATAGTTGTCCTGTGGACAGATTCTCCCACCTGAGCTGTGGATCTCTGCAGCTTCTCCAAAGTTTAGTGAAGAACAAAAGACAGAGCGCACACGTGTGGTTCAACTTTGGACTTTACATGCTTGTTTTACTTCTATGTTTGTGAGTATATCTCCTAAATCAATAAATCCATTAACTGTTTACTAAGGTAATGCGCAAGGCTGGTGCGCTCTGTCTTTTGTTCTTCACTACAGTTTGTATCGAGCTTCTCCAGCTTTTTGTTTGAGCTGCACAGCCTTAGATCATCTCCATACTCTTCAAGAGTACTGGTTCATCGGTCCCCTACGGATCTGGGTCCCTGAGCACAGGAGTTGTTGCATTTGTGGTACTTTTTTGCTTTTCCATTGTTCCATGGGCCTCTTAGCTGCTTCACTGATTAATGCTCTCCTTGTCCGGCCTGTCAGTTTAGGTGGACGGCCATGTCTTGGTAGGTTTGCAGTTGTGCCATACTCTTTCCATTTTCGGATGATGGATTCAACAGTGCTCTGTGAGATGTTCAAAGCGTGGGATATTTTTTTATAACCTAACCCTGCTTTAAACTTCTCCACAAGTTTATCCCTGACCTGTCTGGTGTGTTCCTTGGCCTTGATGATGCTGTTTGTTCACTAATGTTCTCTAACAAACCTCTGAGAGCTTCACAGAACAGCTGTATTTATACTGAGATTAAATTACACAAAGGTGAACTCTATTTACTAATTAGGTGACTTCTGAAGGCAATTGGTTCCACTAGATTTTAGTTAGGGATATCAGAGTAAAGGGGGCTGAATACAAATGCACAGCACACTTTTCAGATATTTATTTGTAAAAAATGTTGAAAACCATTTATCATTTTCCTTCCGCTTCACAATTACGTGCGAATTTGGAGTGAAGTAGCACGATTTCAATGTCCTATTTGGAGTTAACCGGGACTAAGTGAGTTAATTTGCTTAACATTTTACCACAATCTATTACTTTTTATTAGACGGGAGATCTTTATCTGCATTGCTTTCTCGGTTAATATAAAGGAGTGGATTCGTGATATAAATTGTTTATTTTATATAAAAAATTGTAAGCTCGGCCTTTTTAAGTATTGCTTTTTAGATTTTAAAAAAAACTGATTTTCAGTATTCAATCCCAAGATAAAATTTGCTTCCTTTAGTTTTCAAGCGAGGGAAGAAAGATTGCAGAAAACACTCTTAGTAATGACTTTTTCCCTGAAATAATCACCATGTAGTCATTATAAAATATTGGAAATGGCGCTGTAAGTCTGATTAGAATTACGGTTCATTCTGCTAGAAGCTGCGGAGGTGTTTATTAAGTGTACTGTGCGTTCACCCAAGCATGAAATTCACAGCAATACCTTCCAGTTCACTGCATACATTTCGCTGAATATCATTTTTTATGATTGCTGTTAGTCTTTAAGGTATTAAAGAGTCACCCAGAATAATTATTTCCATGTTTGGTGAGATGCTGGAATTTTAAATTGATTTTTGGTTTCTTAAATCTCAGAGTCTCCGGCGGTTCGACTGTTGTGATTGCGTTTCTTTTTCTTGCACACACACTAACTATGAGATGGTCCCACTTTCATTGTTGGGATTTCAATTTGTTCCATTAGTGAAATTATTGCGCAGTTTTGTTGACTGATTGAGAATAATGTTGGAAAGGGATAGCCAGGGGCGGACTGACCATTTAGCCACTGCCCGAGGGCCCAGGGTCAGTAGGGGGCCCCATAAGATGCCCCTGGTACCTTTTTATTGGCTTTTTCATAGGCTTTTTTGGGTGTGGGCGAGGACATGGGGGCCCCATAATCCCCTATTGCCCGGGGACCCCATAAGTTGTCAGTTGCCCCTGGGGATAGCATGTATTGGCTAGAATGTGTAAAAAAGCACATAGGTGGTGCAAACACCTAAAACATTATCCGAGGTTTATTAAAAAAAGTTTAAAGAAACAAAAAACATACTACACAATATGTACATGAAAAAGTAAAGTCACAGGGATGGCCCAAAATGATGGCAGAGTATCCGACTGGTGGTGCGGTCGGCCTGTTGATGCATTTCGGGGGCGTGTCCCTTTCCTCAGAGCTCGAGCTTCCTCCTTGATAACTGAGGAAAGGGACACATTCCCGAAACGCACCAGTTTGACTGAACCACCAGTTGGACACCCTACCATCATTTTGGGCCATCCCTGTGGCTTTACAGGCTTTTTCATGTACATACTTTGTGAGCAGGGGCAGACTGACCATTTGAGCACTCGGGCACTGCCCAAGGGCCCGGGGTCAGTAGGGGTCCCATGAGATACCCCTGGTACCTTTTTATAGGCTTTTTTGGGTATGGGCGAGGACACAGGGGCCCCATGATCCCCTATTGCCCGGGGGGGCCCCATGAAGTTGTCAGTCCGCCCCTGTTTGTGAGCAGGGGCAGACGGACCATTTGAGTACTCGGGCACTGACCGAGGGCCCGGGGTCAGTAGGGGTCCCATGAGATACCCCTGGTACCTTTTTATAGGCTTTTTTGGGTATGGGCGAGGACACAGGGGCCCCATGATCCCCTATTGCCCGGGGGGCCCCATAGTTGTCAGTCCGCCCCTGTTTGTGAGCAGGGGCAGACGGACCATTTGAGTACTCGGGCCCGAGGGCCCGGGGTCAGTAGGGGGCCCCATGAGATGCCCCTTGTACCTTTTTATAGGCTTTTTTGGGTGTGGGCGAGGACACGGGTGCCCCATGATCCCCATGCCCATGGGGCCCCATATTTGCCCCCCCTGTTTGTGAGTATGTTTTTTTGTCTTTTTTAAACAATTTGTAATAAACTTTGTATTTCAGTGGTTTTTATTAATTTATAACAATATACACAGGAGCAACAAATCATGCCCACGCAGGGGCTATCAATTGCACATAGAGAAACTAGAAATTAGAGAAATCAGTGCTTTAACACCAACAGGGCAAAAGATACGCCCATGCAGGGGCCATCGATGGCATTTAAATAATAAAACATAAATATAACTCTGATAATAACTCAGACTAAAGGCAGCTATATACTGCCACACCAAAGCAAACAGAGAAAAAAAAAGGGGGAAAGGAAGGAAAAGTACAAAAGAAAAAGGATAGCCAAACCAAGATCAGGGATCCAAGAACGCCAAAGTGTAATAAACTTTGGATAATGCGTTAGGTGTTTGCGCCACCTGTGTGGTTTTTTTCCAGTTTCGATGACCTCCCAATCTGAGGAGAGCTGCATCACCAAGATTTTATCCTACGGTTATCCACACCTTTGATTTCCCTGGCTTCTTCTTGGCATTGACCCCTTTGAGGCGTTGGAGAGTTAGTGCTTTCAGTCCATTTTGGCTAGAAATGTGTGTCTGGGCAAAAAAATTCTTTCCAATACATTTCCCTAAGGCTACAAGTACAAATAAATAGTTGGTGACTCTGCCAGAAATTCAGCGAGCTCAAAACTTTTTGCTTCTGTAGTAGAACATCCCACTTTATTCTGTGCTTTCTTTTCCAGCTTGGAGGATGCGGCATTCTTGGAGTTGGGGTTTGGCTGGCGGTTACTCAGGGGAAGTTTGCTACCCTCTCCATTTCCTTCCCCTCGCTATCTGCTGCCAGCCTCTTCATGGTGACAGGGTCTGTGATAATGGTGGTTGGCTTCATTGGCTGCTTGGGTGCAGTGACGGAACACCGCTGCCTCCTGCTCACGGTAAGAATCTACCGAATATTATATGTTCTTGCAGTGAAGTCTCTAATGTTTTATTCATTGTGTTTTGTCATTTGAAAGATAGACTTTTAAAAAATAAAATATAATAAAGCTTTGTCTTTTTTAAACTAAATTGGTGGTTTAAAATCTATCTTCTGAAGTAACCACATTGTCTTTTGCAACATTTACGACACCCACTTGTCATGTTTTACAACCATACTTTAGAGTCTGTTGTGGGAGTAGATACAGGTTAAGAATGGCTGCTGAAATGATAGGCCTTCCATAAGATTCCGGTATAAAAGTGCCCGGAGGAATAAGGAAATGATCTTCATCTATGAAAACTTTGTGACACCTTCAGACACCACCTGGATGACTGTCATGGCGGAAGTATGGATTATTCAATCAATATATACCCTTATAAACCTCAAAAAGTCACTACTTTCTCCCTAGAAAGTGCAATAATATATATACACGACCTTTTTGTGAATTACAAAAATAAATAAATAAAATAAATTAAATTAATTTTAAACATATAATGTGCAACAAAGTCCCACTAATCCAAAAAATGTCCAAAAAGAAGTCCAAAACAGTGTCCACAAATATCCCAAGTTTATTCACTCTTTTCATCCACTGAAAGGATTGGCTGCTATTTCATCCAAAACGCACCTCGTTTTGACGTCACTCCTCTAACGCGTTTCGTCACTTCCGGACTTCGGGATCAGACGAAGTCCGGAAGTGACGAAACGCGTTAGTGAGTGGCGTCAAGACGCACGTACGTAGACCGGAAGTGTCGCTGTGCGCCATTTTGTTGGTTTTCAACACATGGTTTTCTATGGTGTTTGGTTGGAAAAGTTCAAAACCATGTCTGGAGCTGATAATTTTAAATTTAAATGTAAGTGATGAGTAAAAAGTTATCCCTATGCTTGGAATATTAGTCCTGAGACCCTTTTTATCTCTCTGAGGACCTTGGAAAAAATATCTTGGAAGATAATGTGGAGGAATATCTTTCCATAGTATTGTCTGAGCATTTTCAATACTCATAGAGGGTAATTATATTTAGTACTACTGTGTGCTGGTTGATGGTAGACACTGATTTGCAGTGACCACAGAGTGTTCACAGTTTGATGTGTGTGATTATATGCACTATAAGAAAATACATTTTTTTTTTTTTTTTTTGCACGAAAAGTTTTTTTTGAAGTGTATTTTGGTTACACGGGGTGATTATTGCTAGTTTTATTATTATTGAGGTAATGCACTAGATATTATCATATTTTTATTTCGAGGTGCGTTTTGGATGAAATAGCAGCCAATCCTTTCAGTGGATTTTTTTTTTTTGAAGTATGGATTAGTTAGTGTAGCTCTCGTCCCCATAGGGGCTGCCTATTTGTCTTAAGTTCCTTTCCCAGATTAGTGCAATAGTAGACAGGCACACAGCAACAATCACCCTTCTGGCTCCATGAACAGTCTAGTATTGTATTGCTGGTTAACTTGGGTAGGGCTTAGGGAGATGTGGGATACTCCATAAATGCTGAGCAATGCATGGTCTTCACTGTAATACTACTTCTCAGGACAGTCATCCCTCCAGCAAAGTTCGAGAAAATGATAACTTCAGCAATGTCCCTAGCCAGGCAAGCACTAGTATTAATATACTAGGGACATCAGCGGTAACAGTCACTAGGATCCTCCAGTAAGATCTGTACTCACAATGTCCCAAGATACTTGGATGCCTCCCTCCAATATCAGACAGACAACTCCTCAATGAATCTCCCAGACCAGATCCTCAGTGATATCCCATGCTTAGCTTTAGAGATTTTAGCAGAACAGGCCACCCCAGCTCTGCCACAGCTGGGACCTTGATGAGCACAGGTAGAACCTTCATCTGAGCTGCCCAGAAGGGCAGCAGCCCTTCAGGTTGATAACTTCTCCTCCTGGACAAGAACCTGGCTGCCTCAGGCTCCAAACTTTTTATGCACTCCCCAGCCGCCTTCTAGTCACCCTCCCATAGGGATTGGCTAAACCAACTTAAATATTCAGGCTGCTGATCTGCTTCCTCCCCCCACCCACTATATTCTTGAATCCTCCAGAAACTAGGGAAAGCAATCAAACCTGCAACCTGCAAAGCCCAGAACAGCTCAAAGCAATCACAAACTGCTCCACTGACTACAGTGGTGCCCAAAAGAACTACATTTACCTAGCTTTCCAAGCAACCTGTCTAGGAGGGTGCTACGTTGGGTTAGATTATGCCAGCTAATTGCTAATGTTTTCCCTCAAGATGATCTTGAAGGATCTCCAGGGATGTACTCCACCTCCCTGCCTTGTCCATAGACATATCCAGAGGCGGACTGACCATTCGGGCACACTCCCGAGGGCTCAGGGTCAGTAGGGGGCCCCATGAGATGCCCCTAGTACCTTTCATAGGCTTTCTTTGGGTGTGGTTTTGAGTGTGGGTGAGGACATAGGGGCCCCATGAGTTGTCAGTCCACCCCTGGACATAACTATGCAGGCTCAGGTGACCTAAGCTTGTAGGTTTATGGAAATATCTTCTTGTAAGCTTTTTTTTTTGTTGTCAGATCTTACTAGCATCAGATATCTATGGATAATTTAAAGTCCAACCCTAGTCCAAACATGTTCCTAAACTTTTTATTAGAATTTTTAGAATTTTTTATTTATTGCCATCAGTGTTCCTGTTGTGCTACAGAAAGTTGGAGGAAAATATTCCCAATAGAAAAATAGTAACAATAAAAACATGACAAGACAACTCTAGCCCTTCGTCAAGAGTTCTTCAAAATTAAAACACTTTTGCTGGAGTTGGGCTTTAAATCTCCAATAGACAGGATCAAACACCGAGCAGATTTAAGACCGATTGGAGCTTCCAGCTTTCGTAAAAGTTATTTTTTGCACTATTGCTGTTACGATCCACCTGGTGGAACCTCTGGCAGGAATACTCAGAGCGTGAAGTCTAAGCCCTGGACTGCGTTTTCACCAGGGCCCCTGATGGTGGGGATGGACTTGAAGCAGACCAGGACCAGGTCACGACCTCCGAGCACTCCTACCTGTGGCAGAGGGGTCCACCGGGGACGACTACAGGGGAGAGCCTGATGTGAAGAGACCGGCAGGGCCCGGCAGGATGGATGGATGGATGGATCACTCGTGGTCAGACAGGCCAGATCGTTACCGTGGGGAGCAGCGAGGTACACAATCGGCAGGCAGAGGATAGTCAGGGCACACGCAGGGTCAATACCAAGGTAGTCAATCCGAAAGGAGGTTCCAAGAGAGAGGTCAGACAAGCCAGGGGTCAGGACAGGAGAAGGCAGCGTAGTCAGGGCAATCCGGGTCAGCAAACAGCAGAATAGCACAGGCACAGAGCACAGGAACGCAGGGGAACACAGGGAGACCTAACGGCAATTGGTGACAGCACAGGGCATCTTTAAATATGGCGCCCTGCGCTGTCATTGGTGCTCGGCGCGCACCCGCGGTGCCTAGTGCGCATGTGCGAGTTTCCCCCTGCCGCGGTCGGCCGGGACCTAGTGTCTGTGTCCCGGCGCGAGCTGGCGAAACTGCGCATGTGCCGGGACGGACGCCGCGGCGGACCCTGACAATTGCTTTTGTAAAATTCAATAAACTTTATATACAAAAAAAAAAGAGGGACTGGGTGGTACAAGTAGTTTTATGTGTATTGACCATTTGTTTCTTGTTCATTACACCAGGTTTCATTGATCTAGGGAATATCCGATTGCCACCTTGGGGATCGGGAAGGATTTTTTCCCCCCCGCTGGAGCAAATTATTATTATACAGGATTTATGTAGAGCCAACAGTGTTTTCCAACATGAGGGCAGACAGTGCAGTTACAATACAATTCAATACAGGAGGAATCAGAGGGCCCTGCTCGTTGGAGCTTTCAATCTAAAAGGCAGGGTCAAGAGATATGGAAGGTATTAAGTGGGGGATGAACTGATGGAGAAAGTGAAAATACAGTTGTTAGGTGGAGGCAGGATAGAGTTCTCTGAAGAGAAGGGTTTTCAGGGATCTAGTAAAAGTGGACAGAGTAGTTGATAGTTGGACAGATTGGGGTAGGGAGTTCCATAGGATGGGAGAGGCTCGGGAGAAGTCCTGGAGGTGAGCATGGGAGGAGGTGACAAGGGTGCTAGAGATCAGGAGCTCATGGGAGGAACAAAGAGAGCGGTTTGGTTGATATTTTGAGACCAGGCTGGTGATGCAGCTGGGGGCCGAGTTATGGATGGCTTTGTAAGTTGGTAATATTTTGAATTTAATTTGTTTGGTGAGTGGCAGCCAATGCAGGGATTGACAGAAAGAGGTGGAAGACACTGAACGGTTGGTAAGGTGGATACAGGGGTGGACTGACCATTTGGAAACTCGGGCACTGCTCGAGGGCCCGGGGTCAGTATGGGGCCCCATGAGATGCCCTGGTACCTTTTTCCATAGGCTTTTTTGAGTTTGGGCAAGGACACAGGGGCCCCATGACCCCCTAAGGCCCGGGGGCCCCATGAGTTGTCAGTCCGCCCCTGGGTGGATGAGTCTGACAGCATCATTCATAATGGATTGAATGGGGGGGGGGGGATAGTCTATGTAAAGGTAAGCCAATGAGGAGGGAGTTGCAGCAGTCGAGGTGAGAGATAACCAGGGAGTGAACTGGGCAGCACAGTGGCTAAATGGTTAGCACATACACCTGGAAGTACTAGGGGTCATTGGTTCAAATCCCAGCTACAGCACCACCTGCCTGGAGTTTTCATGTTCTCCCTGTGCCTGTGTGGGTTTCCTCTGGGTACCCTAGTTTTCTCCTACATTCCAAAGACATGCTGGTAGGTAATTGGCTCCTGTCTAAATTGGCCCTATTGTGTGTATGTATGAATGTGAGTTAGGGACCTTAGATTGTACACCCCTTGAGGGTTAGGGACTGATGTGAATGTACAATTTATATATAAAGCGCGGCGTAAATTGACAGCACTACATAAGTACCTGAAAATAAATAAATTAGGAGCTT